AAATCAAAAATTAATTTAAAATTTTGGTGTCTAGTTTGATTTGAATCAATTTTTTATTTTGCTTCACATTAAATTCAAATATTAAATGTATATGTTAAGTTTGAACCAGATCTTGCATCAAAAAGTCAAAAACAAAAAAAAAAATCAAATCGAACTGAATTATATATTTTTATTAACTTTTATATTTTTATTAAATTTTTATAAAATAAAAATAATTATTTCATATCTAAATCTATTTACATATATTAAAAATATATATAAATGATAAATCAAACGGAACTGAATCGATAAAATTTGATTCATATCAAATTGATTTCAAAAAAAAAAAAAGACTAAATTTTAAAAATTAATAATACTATGCATTATAAAAAAAAATCGAATTTTATATAATCCGAACTGTTGTCACTTGCAGCTCCACCATACATAAAAGGAACAACACTCAAGGATCAAATTAATATTTTTATATGCACTTATTTTTCTTTAAGTTTCACCATTAAAACAATAGATTAATGAGCTATTGCTTTAACTGTTCCAAAAATCTCATTTGAAGAAGATTTTTAGAATATAATCAGGGATATGATCTCTAATTAGGCTTTATTAAGGCTTAATCTTTTGTCGGGATGATTAGAGTACATCTTCAGATTTTGCCAAAATATAATCTCTTTATCAGAAGATTTTAAAGACATATTCTTTGATATCAATTTGATGCATTTTAAATTTTACTTTTGAAATACTCCTTGCAAAAATTGAACCCTTAATGATAAGGATAGTTCCTTACCAATTGAACTAATCTTGTGGATTCATTTAAAAAAAAAAAAAAAAAACCCATATCTCTTATAATTATTATAATATAGTTAAGCAATTATAATTTAGAATTATGTGAGACTAATCAAAATTTTATATGGAACCCACTTTTATAAGTGATGGATCCCTAAATAATTCTTTATTGTAATATGATAATTTCAAGATTTGATCAGTTATTTGATAATTGTTTATTCTAAATTGTAGGAAAAATACATTCCTAAGGAAAGTTGTCTTTTTTTTTTTTTTTTTGCCATTTAGTAGGAAAGAGAAATTTTCATATATATTATACAACTTAAAAAAAAAAAAAAGAAATTTAGGGATATAACTTAGATATATTATTTGTGCTAAAATTATCAAATAAACTCCTTAATTTCTTTGCCTATAAAAAATAGGTAGTTTGTCAATATATGATTATTTCATCAATAATGGATGAACATGCATGTATTATTCAAGAAACATATCAAATCTATTATCCACATGCATTTCATAGCATTTATAAGTCTAGCTTTTCATTCTTCATCTTAGATATTATCATTTTCTTACATATGGAAGTCAATCCTATACCAATAATACATATATTAATCCTATTTTATAAATCACAAGTTCACAATCTCCCTTGTTAAAATTAAAAATATTGCTCTTAGCCTCTTATATAATACGCTTTCAATTTGTAAAATACGCACTATAGTACCCAAAAATCAAAGCCTCAAATTCCTGTTCAAGCAACAAAACAAAAAATTTAAATTTCTTTCTTTATATATTAATTTTTTACTATTATATCCACTTTAGCTACACAATTGTTAGAGCTAATATAAGAATAAAGAATTATATATAGAAATTTTGAAAAAAACAAGGACAAAGTGTTCTTTCAGTTCAAGAGAGATTCGGTATTTTATCAAATTATAAAATAATAAAAAAAAAGCAACTACATACATGATTTTATTTACGAATTAAAAACTATACTATGGATCAACGTTAAATTTTGAATTTGTACTTCAATTTCGTTAAATTTTGGCATTATATTTTCAATTTTATTAATTTTGAACAATAAATAATAAATGATTGAAAATTCACTTGCATTAATGGAATATTTCAATTCTGTTATTAAAAGTCAACAAAATTAAAAGAATAATGATAAAATTCAATAAAATTGAAATATAATGAAAAAATTCAATATTGATTTATATATTAAAGTGATTTATCCAACTTCTAATAAATTTTTAATTTTCAGTAGCTTTACTGTCAATTGGTAGTAAGTTAGATACTTAATATGATATCAAAATCAAAACTTTTTTTTGTTGCTTTTTCTTAATTTGTCACGTAAAAGACTTCTTTCATATTCACCTACATATGATGAGAGCCTATTAAAGTAGTTTATCACATATCTAATAAATTTTTAATATTCTGTAATCTTATATTCAGGTTTAGTTCTCTACTTACAGTCAATTAATTTTAAATTAAATGCTTAACATTCTATATTATAATATTGTAAAAAATTTAACCTTAATCCATTTTATTTAGAAGAAAATGACTATGTATAATGGTGAATGAAATTAAAAAACAAAAGACTATACATATATATAGATATATAGATATATATATATATATACTTAGTATCAAGGTTCATTTTTTTTTTCAATTCCATCATTAATTCTCAATGTTATTTTTAATTTCACTATCATCATGTGTTGGCAATGTAACTTAATCCATAATATCACATATTAAATGGTAGCTTCGGTGACTCAATCATGCCAAAACAAATCGTCTTTTATTAAATTCTCTTGTTCAAGCTAGCAAATGAAAATGGTTGCTTCTATACTCGTAAAGCTAGTAAACTTGAGTAGTTGAGAAAGATTATGACTTGATACTGGTCCCCACCAACAGACAACTCATGTGAATTAAATATAAAACGATTAAAGCTATGCACGTTCGGTTTGATTATAACACTTCAATTAGCTAATTTTTTATAATGAAAAAGAATTTATAATCTGAAGATAAAAAAATAAAGTGTATGTGTTAAAATTTAAACTCTAAACCTATTAATTATCATCTCTTAATCTTCGAATTCAACTTTAATTAGCTAATTTAGTTCTTAATTAAGGTAACCTAAACTTCTATCAACTCTTCTCTAATCGGTGAAAGAAGTAAAGAAAAAAGAAAATTCATTGTCCAAAATTCAATTGGATGAACCTTTTATTTATTATTGATTGATCACTTAATTTGAACCATTGATAGCTGTTCTTACATTAATTGAGCTTTTACTTAGCTTGGCCTTTATGTGTTTACAAATTGCACTAAATAGTCATAATTTTTATGCAAAATTTCATTTTCATCTACTATCTTTAAAATTTAATTTTTTAAGAGTGTTTTAAATTCATTTGTTCTGTTAAAATCTGACCAAATGTGCCACTTTAGAACCACGTGTACATCCACGTGAATGTCCACATGGCACATATAGGTAGGCCTAGACAATTGGATGTCCATGTGATGAAAGTGAGTCCCTTTGACTTTTTGAGCTACAAACTTACAATATTATGTGCATCATAATACCAAAAGTTAATTAAAAAAATCAAATATCTCACAAAATAAAAAAATATTATTTAATACATTAATAGTAAAATTTTTTAATTTTACGAATGAAATTAAGATAATAATATATATTACATTTTTTTTTTAAATTAATTTTTTTAATTTTTTTAAATATATAATAAAAATATGTATTATTATTTTAATCTCATTTGTGTAATTAAAAATTTTTATTACTAATATATTTATAATTTCTCTAAAATAAATACTTGAGAATGAGATCAGATTCAGATAATAAAAAAATATTTATTTTTTTATCTAAGAAAAGAGATTTAAATTTTATTTTTTAAAATAAAAAATACGTGTATTTATCATCAAATCAAAATTTTGGACGTGATAAAAAATATTCTAGCTCATTACAATAAATTAGCATCTAATTTATAAGATTAGTGTAACTACTTTTAAGGGTTTTTTATCGGTCTAATTTTTTTTGGATAAATTTAAAAAAATATGATATTCGAAAGATTTTGATTACTAACATTTTAAAGGAATATATTATTTGAAAATTAATACTAAAATCCTTGCTATATATCAATAATTCAATAGTGCAACACGTGTGTGTGTGTGTGTTTTTTTTTTTTATGTTAGAAAAATTAGAAAAAACAGGGCCATGATTTAAATGGAATGTGGAGGGTGTGTGTTGCTTTCTCAATGTTTTAAACAAGGTCTCTAATGGCATCTCCCTAATTAATGGCGATTTATCCATTGCACCGATTTATATGGTAGGATGACTTACCAAAGATTTTAAGCAATGGTTATCTCATCATTTTCTTATAAATAAGTTGGTAATAAAATTTCCTGCCCAAAAAAAGAAAGGGACACTTTGAGACTTCAGACAGACAGACTTTCAGAGCAAGTGTTCTGACATCTTGTACTTATCCTAACCCAACATAAATCTCATCTCATATCAAATCAATAGGGGCACAACATTATCTTTTTTTTTTTTTTTCATTTTATAAAATTTTAGTATTGTAGGTATGCATGTGATCCAAATTCAACTAACATGCATGCGGGAGATAGTCATTTAATTGTCTTTTTCAATTGTGCTTGCTTAAACAATACGCCAAAGACAAGATGATATGCATACGAATATCAACGGATTAAATCGAAATAAATTTTTATTTATCTTAAATTCAATCTAATTTTATATTTATAAAATTTAAATTTAATTTGATTCAAAAAATTTTATTTTTTTATACTCAAATTCAGTTTTTGATTTAATTTGACTAAAAATTAATAAAATATTATTTTTAATATAAATATAAAATTAAATAAATATATATAAATAAAAATTAAAAAATAAATTTTTATATATTAAATCAAATCGAATCAAATTTATCTACAATCAATTTTAATCTAACCCTGAGTTTTTGTTATTATTATTCAATCTAATCTTATTCAAAATTTCATTTAAAAAAAAAATAAATCTTATAAAATTAAATCGAGTCAAAATTCACTAAAAACAAATTAAATTACTAATCTTAATTACACATATCCAATTTATAAAATATTATTAATATTAATATAAAAATTTTACAATTTTATCTCATAAATTTATCTAATTAGAAAAAAAAATTAAAAACTTATAGTTTGCTTCAGCAGTCCTTCAAGAATTGTCTGCTCATCGTAGCATTGCAAAGAGCATTGGTGTTGAAAAGGTCTCAGTGGGTCTAAACAAATATTATGGTTTATCAGCTAACAGAGAACACTGAAGGATTTGCAGTTGAAGTTTTGAATCTGTCAAATATTAAAGATACTGAAGCAATTGCCAATATTTAACCAGCTGGAACAGTAATGCTTCCTTCAAGCCAGCTTAGATGTCTGTTTTAAATGTTTGCTAAAGGTTCCTAATGGTTCCAACTGTACTTCGGAAAACTTGCAAGGCTTTTTCCATCAAATCATGGTTCATCACGACACTGTTACAGATAACTCTAGCACATCAATATCCTCCAAATTCTCAAAAGAACTCAGATGGTATAAAATCAATCCAACCAATTTTCTATTTTCATTTCATAAATTTTTAAGATCACAAAGATCAAATTCCTTCACTTTTCCAAATACACTAGAACGTAGAAGGTCAGCGGGATGCTGCACTCACCCGGTTTTCTAACCAAACACCTCTGCAATCAATAAATTACAAAAGCATAGCATGCCATGAGAAGCCAAACATAAACACCAAGAACTTAGTCATGCCAATGGTTTCTTCATAAATTACTATGACATTTTTCAACATCTTACCTATGACAAGTGCCTCCATAGTGCAGGGCGATCTCTGGATATCAAGAGAACACGAGATGCCGAGTAGTCAAAAGAAGGGGAATACAAGTCATCTGGCCCAACGATCTCTCTGGCATTTTTAGCACTGCCATAATCATATATGAAAGGCTGCAGGCAATCATCCTTCAAGGCATCAAATACAAAAAGGCCCAGCCCGCAGACACCCATGACAAGGTTTGAATTTCCCCAAACCTGTGTTATGGCTGAATAATGAGAGTGAGCATTGGATTCAGGCAAAGAATAAGTACTGAACAGCCTTTGTTTGCGCAATGAGAACTGTTGCACTTGAGAACAAGGTTGCTTTTTTCCTGATGATCTCACATTTGTGCATCCAAGTAAGATCGAATCCCCTTGGGAGAAAACTGACTGCACATTAACACCAATTTTTGCTATTTTTGCACCTACACCAGATGGATGGCGAAAATCCAAGATATTAATAGAATCTGGAGTGCAGAATACACCATCATTTCCTTCAGCTTCTGAGGAACTTATTCTGCAATTCAGATTTTGGCAATATTAGGACCCATACAAGAATTTTTCTGCTCTTTCTTTTCTTCTAGCATGATATGATTGAATAGGTATAAGCAAGGCAACTTACATTAATAAGCAAGACAACTGACATTGATAAGCAAGAAGTATAAGCAAATATATTCAAGTGGGATTGAAAAAATAGTAAAAGGGTGAATGACAACTTAAACTCATTAACATCAAGAAAAGCAAAAGTAAGTCCACAAGAAATATTATGTTAAGAAACTTGAAAACAGGCAATATAGAAATAATTTGAGATAACCAACAATAACATGAAATAAAGTTCTAACCTTTGCCTAACCCCTCCACCCATCTCTGCATCAGTGTTATTTACATGAAGAGCCGAGATTTTTTGACCAGCTGAAGAGACAGATAGTAATGTCTGAGGATGTAAAGAGTTCACATCACATACAGAAATCATTTCTGCTTCTGCTACAACTACCTTTCCTCTGTTTCTCCACTGCAGTGGACTTGAATAATCCATTGCTGATACAGGCTTCTGGACCTCCCACTTCATAATTTCCTCGCCATCACGGATGTCATATACTTTGACAACCTTCTGAGAGCTGGCAGTTGAGATGATAAGAGGGCCACAAGGTTTATACCACCACTGCTGAGTTTCTGGTGATAAACTATTACGCAGAGCATTTCTTCTATACAAACTGTTATTCGTTAAGGGACCAAGTATTGTTCTTGAAGCAGTCTCCCCATGCTCAGTGTGGAAAGCTCGCACATCTTTGGTATAGAAATCCCAAGAGCAGAATCCTGATTCTGAAGAATTCCCAGCAGATGCAGCCACAACATATCTCTCTGAGCAACCATCTGCACTAGGAGCACGGATAATCCAACAATCCCTCCATATATTAGGTGAGACACCTTCTGAAGGCTTGTACACTGCCTTCTCCTGAAGTAACAATGGACCATCATTTTAAGAATTTGTAACTTTTGTTATGTCAATGACTCCATTTTTCATCAACATGCTCATATGGTATAAAGATTCAAAAAAAATTTATTTAATCAATGAGATTACAAGAGAACTTTTTTTGTCAAAATATAGCCAAATCAACGCTTCAAGCCTTAAAAAAAATCAGTAACTTATCCAATTCCAAGGTTAAATCCATTAAATTTTCTAGAAAACAGAACGAAGAAATCAGTGGAGACATTCATATAATCAGAAGGAACACAAATAATCAAACAGAGATGAGAAAGTAAGAAATGATGCTTGGACCATTATTAGGAAACAACACAGCTGGACATCAGGCAATTAGCCAGTTGATTATAGAATACCGATAAAAAGGAAAACAAAATTCCCACTTGAAAGAAGAACAATAAAGAATACCTCGCAGTTAGCAATGTCATAAAAGGAACATGACCCATCATCATGAGCAAGAAGAACAGCCCCTCCGTCTGACATAAACCATCCACCAGTTGAAGTCTTGCAGCCAATTTCATTGAGCTGATAAATGCTAGCATCTTCAGTCTCCTCATCAATAACAGCAGTAGGCCTATTCTCCTGATCATCAAAGTCCTCAAGTCTCTCATCTGATTCAAGATTGAATTCTACACCATGCTTCATGTCAAAATTTTTTAAAGAGCCTTGTGCTCCTGAAGCACCATCACCATCCATCTGCTGAGTATCAGAATTCTTCAAACTAGCCTGCTCAATTCTTGTGGTGACTTTAGTTTTCTCCCTATCAAGTGAAGCCAAGAACTCCAAAGTGACCGGATTATCCTCAATGGGACTCAACGACTTCTTTTCCTCCCTTAATTCACTGCTGGAGTCTACAGCATGCAAGGGTTCCTGACTTTGAGAGCTGCCTGATGATTCCTTCAATGACATCCGATTTCTAAGCAACTTGTGATGAGGAAACAATCTAGCCTCTAATTCCTCACTATTCAATTCTTTAACTGAAATTTTAACATTACCCACTTGCTTACTCTGACTCCTCTCAACACCTTTCATACTCACATCTTCATCTCTAGAACCTTTTGAAGCACTTGTTTTACCATTCGAATCACTCACAACATGATTCATAGCCTTCTCAATACCTGAAATCTTGTCCTGAATATCTGAAAGTATCACCTTTGATGCATCCGGATTATTCATGTCAAGCATCTCCTTAGTCCACTTAATATCTGACGCAATTCTCTTCACCTTCCCTTCCAGAAAAGCAAGCTTTTCATGAACCTTGCTCGGATATTTAATACCAATCCCACTCCCTCCACTCTCCTGAACACTCAAGTCCGTTTCTTTCAAAACCTCCAAACTCTTACCATCACTCGAAGACTTACCTTTTAGAAACTTTGCATCACATTTCTCATCAACCCTAACACAAGCTCCAAGTTCTGAACCAAAATCTGAAATACCCTTTTCGTTAAAAGCCCCAAAATCCCCATTTTGAATATTATCCCCATTTGATTTCCCCAAATCGGAGCTAAATTTAACATCTTTTTTAAAATTCCCATCCAAAAACCTAACCCCGTTTATTTTACTCTGATTTTCCTTCACTTTCATCACCAAGTTCTCCCTAAATCCACCATTTTCCTTGCAACCTTTAACTCTTAAATCCCTAAAATCCTTCTTTTCCCTATCCATTGAAATTCTATCTTTCTTTAAATCAGAAAAAACCCTAATAAATTCAGATGGACTCTGACTCCTACCTCTTGGGGCTGATGACGTGGACCACCGTAGCCGGCCCTCATTCTCAGAGCCACCAAGCTCCACCGCCTTCTCGACTCTTGGAACGGACCGGATCATGGGCCCCTTAGCCACCATGGAAGCACGAGAAAGGCTGCTGGGCCTTGGGTTTTCTTTACCGGAAGATGATTTTTTGAGGGTCGGATTGGAGATTGAAATTATGGTTTTCGCCGTTTTTGGATTGCCGGAGGTAATGTCTCTTTGCCGACAAACCGACGACGCTGACATTTCCTGTTTTGGGGATTAAATAAATTGAAAATAAATTAACACGGTAATGTAGAAAATGGGAATTGAAGATAATCTTTCTCAGTTTAAACTTCAAAGATTGTGTGGGTTTTGGGCGGGAAATAAATGTGAATTTGTAAAGTTTGAATTTTTTGGGAATGTTGGAGCCGTGGAGGCTTTGTACCAAAGGTTGTCTTTCTCATTTGACATCTGTCTCTTCTGTTTATTCAAGCACACTTCATTATTAATAACATCCAAAATTCAAACTCCCAAAATTTATTATTATTTTTTACGGCCCACACTCATAACATTGCAATTATTTCATTATCTCATCCTTTATCTACCTTAAAACCGGTTTCTTTCCCCTCTCTTTTGATGGATTCCCAATTTGAAATTGTTAACTTTTTGGATAAGATCAATAGTTTTAATTCATGCATTCCAATAAAGAAGTAATTTATTTATGATATTTGAATGACTTTTTAAGTTTTATGGTTTGTAATTTACAGTTGTTCGATAAAATCATGAGTTATAAAAATCGTTTTTTATATGACTTAGTTTTTGAATTTGTATATTTAAAAATTTTAAATAGTTTTTAGATATACAAATTTGAAAGTTTTTAAAATTTTTTAAATATGCAAATTCAAAAACTTTCAAAAATTTTTAGATATATAAATTTGAAATTTTTTTTTTAAATTTACATTTTTAGAAGTTTTTAAAAGTTTTTGAACGTGCATGTGCAAAAACTTCTAAAAGCTTTTGGATTTGTATATTCCAAAACTTTTAAAAGTTTTTTAAATATGTAAATCCAAAAACTATAAATTTTGAATTTAATACAGCATGAATGTGTAAATCAATATCAATATAAAACATATTAAATGTTTTGGGATTAATTAGCATATTTGCTTTGAAAGACAAAATGTTGATCGCTTTTTCTATATAACAACATATATAGCATGAATAAGATGAGGTGGCATTGGTAGAGGTGGGGGACGTGCTACACCTAACACTCGAATCCATCTAACTACCTCTAAGAAAAGATGACGAGTCCAAAAACTTATAAATGAGCTGGTTGATCCTTCAAAATCGATTCTTGAGAATAAACCACCCATTCAGTAGCATGATGGTAGAGGTAAAAATGTGAACGAGTTGGCTGAGCTTTTTTTTGGTTGGCTGATACTTTCGTCTTTAAGAGCTTCAAGACTCATGTTTTAGTAAGCATATGAAATGGGTAAGTAATAAATTCAATCACGATGATACTTATAATTTATTCTCATTACTTAATGTTTATAAAGTTAATAACTAGTTTATATTTATTATTGTTGATATAGAAGCGAGCTATGTTGAAATCCATCAACCATAGGGCAAAGTTATAGCAATGACCTCTAGATGCTCCCACTAGTATATCCGTGCATATTTTGTTTAGTTTTAGTTGCAATAATTGATCGATTGCACCTATCGTATATCTAACATTACAATAGTATCTATCTTTGTTGAAAGGTGACAGTTTGAGATGAATACTTTTTACTTACCATTCTATAAGATGACAATTACATTATATGACATGTTAGTCATTATCAACATACCTATCAAGGGAACCATGATTTCTCATAAAAGTCATGTGACGATCGCTAAGGTGAACACAATGCTAGTGCAGCTTCTTAGAGTGTCAAAAGTTAAGGCAACCAATGAGACCAAATTATTTTGTGGTGCAGCATTCAGATTACAGTAGTTGCAAGATCATTTTGGTTATACGAAAGATGCAACTTCTGATTGAGATGTAAAGTGTGTGAGCAAGACTTTCTTACTCCATCTCCTAAAGTGCAAGCTATTTGTTGACAAGAGTGAAGATAAAGTATTAATCGTGTATTTGTCCTCTTGAGCAATCTTACTAGATTGGTAGATATGCTTGGGGGACAAGTCACCTGACATATCTATATAAGCAGTTTGGTGAAACTAGCAAGTCTGATGTTTATCAAATTGTTGGTTATATGACGCTTTTTCTTTAGGTATGTATATAAGAATAATTATATAATATTGTTCTAATTTCTTCTTTTATTTTATCAAAAAAATGTGAATAATGATGCTTCATATATTTGACTTAGACATTGATTTATGAGCACTTTCTTCGCTAGGTCCTAGAGCTGTACTGAAATATTTTGATGCTCAACCTCGTCCTTTACGTTGGTGGCTTCATACATATGTTGATAAATTGCAACAATTACATGAGCAATTGGATGACTTGTGATCAACCAAGGTGTGCTAAGAACCTTATGCGAAACAACGATAGCAGTACCCATTATATGAGATTAGTTTCTTTTTAGGTGTTTGAAATGCAAGATTATCATTAAGCTGTATCATTCGGAGAAGGTTTTACAACAGTTCAATTTTATACAAATCATTTCTCTAATCTATCTAACTTTGTCTTAAGCATACTAAAGTTTATCATCTAGCATGTATCTAGGTGCATACAACTTTTTGACTCAATTATGGGAGAGATGGGTATGTATGTCTTGCCTGAAAAAGCATTGATGACGATGATGTTGGACACCAAGTGAGTATTCAATAGATTATGATGCTTGATATGTATTAATTTTACAATCGCATATTCAAAATTTTAAGTAAAAATTTAGATTTCAATCGCTATCAATCAATAAAAAACCTATTAGTGAAATTGTAACTAATCAATTTATTTATTATTATTATGTTTAATTATGTATTATTGATAGTTATTACCTTATTCAATTTATAGGGTCGCATATCAAGAACAATGTCGTTTATTAATAGTATTATCATCAGTGGATTAGATTAGGACCAAACAATATGGAAATGAGCTTTTTTTACTGTACGTAAACCACCTGTACGGATCCTCAAGAGAGGCCAGTACCAATCAGTCTAGACTCTAGACCAACTATCAATAGCAGTCAGTATAGAACACATGCGCCTGCTCACTCTTCACCCCCTGCATCGACAAGACCACTACCTACAGCAGTACTACTCACGTCTACTTGCTCCCCACCCATATTAACACCAGCACCGACAGCGCAGTCTTTACCGTAAACTCATAAATGTAAATGATACGTTAATATTCGTAAATTATTTGAATTTAATTTAAAAAAAATTTAAATTTGATTCAATTATTATCGAGTCGAACTCGAGTTCGAGTAATTCGATTTATCGATCGAATCGAATTTCAGTATTTTTATATCTAATTCGAGTAACTCGTGAGTCTAATCAAATTTTTATATTTAAATATATTTTTATTATTTTAATTAATAAAATATTTTGAGTCTGAGTTCGAGTTTGAGTTCGAATATAAATAATCAAATTTTTGTCGAGTATACATATTAATCGAACTTAATCGAGCGAGTTGGAGTAACTCGAATTCGATCACGAATTGAGTTCGAGCTTAAAAAATAAAATTCGATCGAGTTCGAACCAAATATCGAACCCTGAGTTATGAGTCGAACTCAAACTTCTCACTATATCGACTCGACTCGATTCGATTACACCCCTAATCTCAATCTCAACGTGTTTATTTGAAAAACAAGAGTATAAAGGATTAAGACATGTAGTTTTAGGTTTATGCATGTGTGACGTATATATTTGTATATAGTTTTTTTACTTTGAAATGTTAAAAACATTTTTTTATATATTTATATATGTTTAACATCTACTTTTCATCATATAATACACACATGTGACCACCCATTCGTGTAACTTTTAGTTTGTGATAAAATATTAAAAACTCAATTAATCTATTCAAAACAATTCAATAATTTAATAATTTTACATATAATAAAATGGTTTAAGATTTGATAATAATATTTAAGGTTTAAAATTTAGAGTTTTAAAATTAAAATTTACAAGCCTTCTGAATGTGCATTTTGAAAAAATTTAAAGACATTTTAAAAGTTCATATACAAAAAGTTCAAAGACTTTATGGAAATATATATTCTAAAAACCTTCCAAAAAACTAAATCAGGAAGACTATTAAACTTTCTGAATATACATTTTCAAAAAGTCTATAAATCTTTTAGATATACATTTTCAAAAACTAAAAATAAGTGATGTTAAAGAGTAATTTATCAAAAATTAATTAAGTAATTTTATTAAAAGAGAAAGTCATATGATAGTTTAGTTTTGTGCAAACTATTCCTCCAACCTTTAGCACGTATCTGATTACATACAATTTATTGGACCAGTTAAAAGAGAGATGAGAAATGTATGTCTTACTTCAAGAGCGTCGAGAGTGACAATGTTGGACATCGGATGAGTGATGATTGGTATGCATCAATTTCATACTTGTATATTCAGAATCTTAAACGAAAATCTGAATTTGAGTCACAACCAATTAATAAGAAGCCTGTCACTAAAATTGTAACCGGTCAATTTATTTGTAATTGTTGAGTTTAATAGCAATTATATGTTATTGATAATTATTATCTTATTTAACTTGTCGGTTCGTATATCAATGACAATATCATTTATTAACAGTATTATCGTCGGTGGATCAGATCAGGACTCAACTGTATGGAGAATAGCATTTTTTTATTGCACGTAACCTACTATCTGGATCCTCAAAGGTGGCCAGTACAAGTCAGTCTAGACCAACTGCCAATAGTAATCAGTATAGACCACATGCTCTTGCTCACTCTCCACCCCCTAAATCGACGAGACCATTGCCCCTAGCAACACCCCCAACAGCACTGCTCACGCCTACTTGCTCCCTACCCATAACATCACCAACATCGATAGCCCAATCTTTATTGCCAGCCCAGTCTTAATCTCAACGTGTTTATTTGAGAAACAAGAGCACGAAGGATTAAGATTGATAGTTGTAAGTTTATGTATGCATGGCATAAATATTTGTATATAGTTTTTAACTTTGAAATGTTGAATATATATTTTTTTGTATATTTTTACATGATAATACCTAGGCTTTCATCATACGATATATACATATAATCTTTTATTCATGTAACTTCTCGTTTAAAATAAAATATTAAACACTCAACAAATTTATTTAAAAAAATTTAATAATTTAACAATTTCACATATAATAAAATAGTTTGGAGTTTAGTTATAGTGTTTAGGGTTTAGAATTTAAAAAATGAAATTTACATTTTCAAAAGTTGAAAGACATTTTATATCTAGAAAGTTTAAATATATCCTAAAAACCTTTTGAAAATCTATATTAGGAAGACTATTAAACTTTCCGGATATACATTTTGAAAAGTTTATAAATCTTCCGGATATATATTTCAAAAAACTAAAAATAAGCTAGGTTAAAGAGTAAATTGCCAAAAATTAATTAAATAATTTTATTTAGGGGTACTTTTGTAATAAAAAATTTGGATGTAGAGAGAAAAAAAGGTTGCATTTCGAAGATCCCCTTCTGTTTTGGTTTTTTGGCCAAAAAATCAACTTCAACCTTTTAATTTCTTCCTATGCCTTGACATCTTGCAGAGTCAAGATATCAGCATCCACTTTTTTAAGCCATTCTGCAATGCATCAGCTGCTTTTCAAGCTCCATTCATTCCTTAAGTTAATCATATAGGAAGGGAAACAAATAAGAGATCTCGTAATAACATTGTTTTTGATTCTTCTGGTGGTTACATTTTCCACATGGCTAAATGGTTTTCTTGGTGCCAAGGAAATCTCATTACCAGAAGGTTGATTGTAACCTTCATTTTTTTTTATCTTGAAAGCTTCTTTTACTTGGAGAGATTTTTAAGCTAATGCTAGAATTGAGAAGGGGGCTTATGGATTGTAAATTTGGTAACTTGGTGTGAATGTTAAATAGACTTTTTAGTGCCATGTAATCCTTGTTATGGTACAACTGTTTGGTGGAAATTGAAACAATGGTCTAATAAGAAGCCCATTACCTTGAAAAAATGCTGCTTAACTTCAACTGATCTCTATTCTAAATTCAACTATTCCAATTCAGTTTCTTCTGCCATGTACAACCTTTTCTTGGACCAGATTCCGATATGGTACAATGATGCACGAACAAAAAGACTAAATGCCTTTATGACAGCTGATCCACAACCCATAAGGTGCCATTGTTTTTGCAGCAAAAAAGGGTAAAAAGAATTATCAACATAATAAGTTGTCTACATATTACCCTTTCCAAATTCTTTGAATGATAAAGGAATTTTTTTGGGCTCGAGAATGAATGACATTGGTTAAACACAATGTCATCCCGGCATACCTCGGGACGCTTTAGCAGTGGCATTGTTGGTGATGGAAACAAGCATTTGCTTCCATCAAATGATGAACAGATGTACAGCCAAGAAAGAGGCAAGTACCTCACGCAGCTAATATAAATACCAGAAATTTGAAAACAGAAACTGCAGCAAGCCACCATATTTGACAAGGAATTTCTTGCAATAAACTCACTACATAATCTGCCATATAGCAAAGAAAGTACCCTCAACAGATCTTAATCCTTTCTAAATAGACAAAACACAAATGGAACATTCCGAAAGAACAAATTGCAGAATATTGATGACAAAACTACCAAAAAGCCACATATTTCAGTATCACTTCAAGATGCATTCTCCTTTTTCAGCTTAGCAAGCTCTTGCCTGACGACTCCAGCCCTCTGCAAAATCATATTATATCCTGTTAGCTTGGGTGTCTTAGGAATGCCTTTAGATGTTGATAAAATCAACTAATATAAAACAAGTAAACACTAGACACATCAGTGGTACCAAAAACTGACCTTGATCTTAGCCAACATAATCTTGAAACGATCAAAGTCATTAAGTGATGCTCTCCTCTTCTGGACAATCAGCTTTTTACCCCATGAACTATTCTCCCACTTGTTCTTAACATCTGCCATCAGGTAAAAACAATAAGAAAAATATAACATAGAGAAACAACATTTCAATGTCAGTAAGAATTATTTTCGTACCAGCTTTGTCCATTGCTTCAATCAATGTCTTCTTCTTAGGAACACGAGGAATGTCAATTTTGATATCAGTCAATGTAAGCCTCTTGAAGTTCATTTGGCCCCTAACCATATCGGGGGCATCAACTAGAGCCTGCGATGCCAAGACACAAGCAAAAGTTTCATTCAATTTCTACAAAAACTTCTGCACATATCGCATATCCATCTTCAACTACATTCACGACTAAAATCCACATTGAACACATTTACTAACTCAACATTGTCCTACGTTACACATATACCCAGTACCACAACAATCAAGCCAAATAGCAACAACAGGTCAACAAATGACAAGAAAAAAAATACAATAACACACATGGGCCTAATCTATAACGTGTTGGCATATTCTCCAAATCTTCATTTCCTGATAGTAAGTGGCCATATGTTTAGCGTCCTGACCTCCAAATACAAGGAAAATCCTAAAAAAAAAAAAAAATTGATCGCAAACAGGTCTGGACACATAAATATTGACACTTCATTCCCAAGTCTGAGCAACAGAGGATTAAACAGAAACTCCATAACTTCATGATTAAAATGTCAAAAACAACAGAATTCAGACTCATTTCTCCATTGAAGTTAGCTGGTTGATAAGTGGTTTCATTATAGATTAACTAAAGGGGAAAACGCAAAGATCCCATTTTCAAATCAATCTCATTAGGAAAAAACAACCAAAATCTAGTAAAGTAAAAACCAATTCACCCACATACCATATTGCCTTTTCATCACTATAAATCAAATAAATGCATAAAAATCAAATTTTCTATCACAAATGACCGATACTAAAACTGAAAAGAATAAAGATAATAACATACTCTGTTTTGGTCAATAACATCGACGATGACAACGAGCTTGCCGTAGTCTTTCCCGTAGTTAACTAGAGCCACTCTCCCGATCTCAACGTACCTCTTGAACGGCTACAAAAAGTAAAACAAAATGAAAAGAAAATCAAAACACAGATATAAGATTGAAGAGAGCGAACAGTGGCGTTTAAATATAGATGAAAAACTCACCATTTTTGCGGTGAGTATGTGAGAGAGTTGGAGGCTAAACGAGGTAGAGATGGAAGAGGCGGACGAGGGAATGGTGGAGAGTTTCAGAATTAGGGTTTTATTATATGGTACTTTGTAGGCTGTTTATAACCGTTCGATCTTTTATACGGCACTTTTAGGCTGTTTATAACCGTTCGATCTATCCATTCTTTTGGTGACAATGGGCTTCGCCAAATTTTGCTTGTATTGGTGTTTTTTGTTTTTTTTCTTTTGGGGAGACGTGTATATCCCAGGCTCAGTCAGTATTTAATAGTTCAGTCCAGGGCCTGATCCGGCCCATCTGGCTCAAGAGATCTAAATTTTTTGAAAATATATATTAGAATATTTAAAAATTGTAAAATATAAAACTATTATTATTTTAAATAAATTTAAAATTAAAATTAAATAAAAATAAATTTTATTAAAAACATAAAATTTTGAATCAAGTAACATCAAATCCGAATTTGAAAACTCATGTTCAAAACTTAGTTTAAATTGATCAAAATTTATAGACTAAGCAGATAATTAAAATTATAATACGTAAAATCCAACTCTAAATTGTTAACAGGCTGACATCTCATAGAACAATAGTTTGTTCTGCTACACAACCTTTAGGCCTAGATGCTTCAACCACTTTCACCTTGAGAAAAAACCTTGCAACAATTTCAAATTAGTAATATAGAGAGTAGGGAAAAGCTGTTGTTCAATAAAATAATCAGTCACCAAACTAATGAAATCCATTTGGTGGTTCGTGATCTCTGGCTGGAAAATAAAGAATTTCAATTTAGTTTTCCACCACTTTAATATTTATTTGGATAAGGGATGTGATTATTTTCTGAAAAACAATAATAGAGATAATATTAATTCTCGTGAGGTAATTATTCACTACAAACAGTGGAGAATTGAGATTGCTTTCATCATATCATGCTGTCCTGATCTATGTTTACTCTGTCACACCTGCAGGGAAAGCATCTAAATGGACAAGAAATTGCTGTGAAGAGACTATCTAGGCATTCTTCTCGAGACGAACTCAGAATTCCAGGGTGAGATTTTTCCAGTAGCTAAGCTTCAACACAGGACTGGGATTTTGCTTGGATGGGGCAAAGGATCCATGTTTATGAATTTGTTAGCAATGGAAGCCTGGCTCAATTTATATTTGGTACAACTTATGCCAGATGCATTTGTACTAATAAGTTTATCAGAATGACATCTTAGCTTGGATGATTGTGCAGATTCAATTAAGCCTGGCCAACAAATTGGGAAATGTGTTACAAATCATATGTAGCATTGCTCGAGGGATTCTTTATTATCTTCGTGAAGATTATCTACTCAGGATGATCCATCGTGATCTCGAAGCGAGCAATATCTTGCTTGATGAAGAAATGAACCCGAAAATTTCAGATTTTGGCATGGCAAGACCTTTTGCCCTGAATCAGATTTAAGGCAATACTTGTAGAACTGTGGGAACTTAGTAAGTACAACTATCACACTATTCGTTATACTTTACGCTAATCAAGATTGATATGTGCCGTTGGAATACTAGTAATCAATTGAATTTGTTCTTTCTTAAGCTGTTACATATGTAGTGGCTATATGGCTCCGGGTTGGATGTCTTCAGTTTTGGTGATCTACTTCTGGAGATGTGAGAGGCAAGAAAAACAGTTGAACCTTCCAAGCTACTTATGTTTGCTTCTGTCACTCCTTCTTGATCATAAGGCCTGACCTCCTTTCGAACAAGATATATTTTAATGCTCAATTCATCAACTAAAAGCCATGGAAAGTTCAGAAAGAAGGAACAGCTGAAAATCTGATCGACCCAACCCTCAGGAGCAACTCAAAAGGTGAAATAATGAGAAGCAACCAAATACGGTTATTATGTGTTCAAGAACATGCAGCAAAAAAACTTTACCATGGGTTCGGACTTCTTATGTATAGTACCATCCATAAACATGGCTCCAGACCTACCACCGCCAATGCAACGTGCATTTCTTATGTATAGTAGCATGTTGGAGGTAGGGCTGACAATTCAAAACACAACTCAAAAACAATTAAAAAAAAATAATATGAAGATGATAGGATTTAAATTTTAGCAAAAATCATATATGGGTTTAATAAAAATCAAAACATGTATTTCGTGTTTTTTATGTCGACACTAATTGTGACATATAATTTTTATGTAAAACACAATATAAATATATGAATTATCAGTATTTTACACAACATAAATGGCTAAGTCTAGTTGGAAGTCAGCCTGCCCTCATCAAATAAGAATTTAGGATCCAGTCAGTCAGGGAAATCCGTAGACACAGCTGCCACACCATATTTCCCGGTAAACAAACTTCTTTTATGATAAGGAACTACCTAAGTCTAAACAAACACAAGAATGGAAATTTTGTAACTTAAAATAGTGTTTTTCAATTTGAAGATCAGGTTTTGTTACTGCATTCTATAAGAATAAAACCAGTTGTAAAGTTCAGAGGATGTGATTTGTTTCTTCTTTTGATTTGTTTATTTCATTTTGCTTTGACTATGTTCCCACTCACAATATATAAATCAATTTGTGAGTGATCAGGGAGTTAAGCACAATATTCACTGGAACAATCATTTTAAAATTCATCTACTGAGTTATCCTTGCCATGAATCCATACTATCAGAAAATAGACTTTCTTATCTGATTCCAATAATTGGATTCTAAGACACTGAATTGAGAGCACAAAAACCTTATTAGATAGGTTACTTAATAACTTCAAAAGAAATTATCACATCAATAATAAAGTTTTTAAATTCTACTGTAAAAGATTAGTAGGGTACATATACCTTTTAGGTATAATGAAAAGAAACATGTGATCAGCTCTTAATCTCGCTTATAAAATTGAAAAATTTTATTGCTAGTGTATAAAAACGAACTCTAACTTCAAATGGCAGAAGATCCCTTCTTTACTTTCATATAGTTTAGTTTGACCAAGCACTAAAAAGAATCAGATTCTGGGTTGGAATAATTGAAAAAGATTAAATTTCATAACGAAGATGGACTTAAACTTGACCCTGGCTAATCTTTATACTCTAATTGAAGAACTTTGAATCTTGCCGACAGTTTTTTAACTAAGCTGTGATGTGACAGCTTTCCATCATGTAATGGAGTTTGGTAATCAAAGAATACGTAAAATCCCACGCTATCTAATTATCAGAATCTATGAGTGATCGAAACAAGCAAATATTAACAAGTTGCAAACCAGATATTCACCTTTAGATGCCTGAAAACTAACATGAAAGGAGGAACGAGATTAAATCATATATGGCATAAGATTCCCGAATGAATCAGTTTGATGTAAATAACTCAGCATTTCACCACATAATCATGAGTCGGTTTCTTCTTATCTTATCTTAAGAGAATTTATCTAATTTTTATCTTTTACTTGTGTTGTCTATTTTCAGTTAAAACTTGACGAATGTTGGGGTTTTCGAGGTGACTCTCATTTGTAATACTTAGTTTTCGTTCACCGGATGTAGCATTTAGCTTTCAACTAGGTATTATCTATTTTGATCCAGTTTTACGATTTTATCTAAAAAAAAAAATCTGTTAAGTATGGATTTAAATCTCTATAATATCCAAGGAGGGATTAGGGGTTACAGTTAGGCCCTTCTGTCCGGTTTATTTTAGAACTTGTGTTATTTGACGTTCTTCTTTTAGTAATCTTGACTTGCTTAGTTGCTTCCAATATAAAGTTAATGTTCTCTGAAGCTAGACAAAATTTTCATAGTTGCATCAGAATAGCACTGGTCTTTTAGATGTTTTAAACCCAATGATCAGACGAGAATGTGAGCAAAAAAGCCTTGAGAATTTTCAAATATTCGCATTGAAACCTTTGAATGTTATATGATTATGTGCTAGAAGGGTCCTAGAAAGATTCCAGCTATATTTTTCATTATCCCATCTAAGAAATGCAGGCCACCAAGTCTCTAACTTTTGAAAACTTTGCAATCGATTGCAGACAGGAAATCGGTAAAAGGGCATGTATGGATGATGATGCAGTTTTCAGTTGCAATGAGAAAGCATCTATAAGAAAAGAAGCATTTTTCTTCCTTTGATTGGCTTAGGGGGATGAACCGACAAAGAAGTATAGACCTATTTTCAGTTTAAAATTTTGATTGAACTAATTCTTCTCTAGGGTGATCATCAATTAGATGATATAGCTAGGGAAAATCAGCAATTCCCACGATTAAAATGCTGCAACTGCTATTGCATAATCATTCTGCTGCCAAGTGCATTATGACAAGAATCCTATGCACAAATGAGGCCTGGTTTATATGGCAATGGAATTTGGTGGCAGACAAAATTTGCTTTCAGGATCGATAGAAAACATGTCCTAGTCACTTATGCCCCTCGATACAATATTTTTGGTACAAAGGAGGCCACATTCTGTCTGGGAATAAGAGATGAGATTGTAAGTACTAGAATTTAAACTCCAAATGTGCTGGATGCGAGCTCTTAAGGGCTCCGTTATAATTCTGTAAGTTGCTTGATCATTGTTGGAAAAGGCCAGAACACCTAAACCAAAGGCACATAGTTGGATCAATGAATGTACATCTGATATCCTCATGAGTCATGCAATGAAGATATGCTTCCTCTTGAAACAATCAGGCTAAGCTGGTGGGTTATTTAGAGAATAGAGATGCTAAACCCTTGAGTTGAGTTTGGTTGCCAAATCTCAATCTGCCTTTGGATATAATAAAACATGATTAAAAGGAAATATTCTTTACTAATTTCATATAGTGTGAAGTTGGCCATTTTGCATTGTGGGGCTGCGAGGAATCTCATGTATCAACCATAAATGAGGCATTTTCTCCACTTTCGGCTATTTCTTTTTCATTATTTTTATCGAACAGTTAAGGGTTTCCCAGCAGATTTGAACCAGACAACAAAGAAGGAACATACTCTCTTTGCCACTTGAGGCAACCATTAATGAGTCCTTTCCTTTTCAATTTAAATTGCAAATGATTTACAAAATACTTGAGAAACATTGTGCGGAACCGCCCTTTGAAAGCTATAAATTAGCTCCCTCTTCTAAACCATAAGAAGCAAAAAGAAGTGAAGCAAGCATGGGAGAAGAGAAAGAGAATGCAGAAGAGAGGGTGGTTGACATTAGTCTGAAGGATCTATCTAAAAAGCTTGAGGAATTTGCCAGGGCCAGAGACTGGGAGAGGTACCACAGTCCTAGGAATCTACTCCTTGCTATGGTAATCATCATTATCACTCCAATTTCATTTAGCAGACTCCAACTAAAAACTATGTCAACCCTGTTTCATACATGTATGTCTATCCATGTCTGTCTTTGGCTCTTTGCAAAATGCTCAGACTCTTTCAATCTCCCCATCACAGTTAATGTGCATAGCTACTAACAAAAGTGGACTGCACCTCTATATTTACTGTGAAAATCTTCCTTTCTGCCATTCCTGTTCCCTTTCCCTACCCCCATTGTTGAGGAAGTCGAGTTCTGTTATGTATCAGCAGCCTATATATTTTCTATGGGAACTGTGTCATCTCTAGTCAGTGTCAGATCCAATTTTTTTTACGGAAGTGCCACTTATAATATATATAAAAAACTGCCGGATTTATTAATCTTGTTGACAAAAAGGATGTCCAGAGGAAAATTTTAGGGATATTCAAGGGAAAATTTTCTTTCAAATTTTCTTATTTTCCAATCTTTAAAGCAGGGATCCGCCTCTGAGCTCATTTCTTAACCTCTTAGGCTTGTATAAATACCAGTTCAGCTACTGAATACTATTGATAAATGCAGCCTTTATCCTGACAAAGGTACCCCTCTCTTCCCAATCTAGGGAGCCATGCGTAAGGCCATTACCTGAACTTGAAGTACAAAAACAATTGTGAAAGTTGGTTTCATCTCGTCCATTACTTAGAAACAACCGAAGGCACATACCATTTCACTATTGCAGACACTGGAAACATGTTTGGTTTAACATGTCTCATAACCAAACCTTGCATTAGAATTTAGAATGTTGACTTCTTCCAACCATGCACTAACATTAAGCACCTTTCCAATGCAAATGTCATAAGCTTCCAATGTTTCTTTTTTTTTTTTTTTCCCAATTATGGATGTGTAGGTTGGAGAAGTAGGAGAGCTATCAGAAATTTTCCAGTGGAGAGGAGAGGTGGACAAAGGGTTGCCAAATTGGGAGGAATCAGATAAGGAGCATCTTGGAGAAGAACTGTCTGATGTGCTGTTATACCTCATCAGGTTGTCTGATATTTGTGGCATTGATCTTGGTGATGCTGCTAGCAAAAAACTTGTTAAGAATTCAATCAAATACCCAGCCAAGGTTTTGTGAGACAACCACCTTTTTCTGCCAGAATTTTTGTTCTGTTCAGCTTGAAAAAAACAATTTGATGCTATCCTTTGCTTGAGAGAATTTAGAATAAACTATTCTCTTTCCTTTCTGTTTTAGGCCATTTAACTGTTACTAGCTTATAATAGTGCCAATACACCAATTAATTTTAATCATCACATGGTACCACAATACAAACATATATGAAAAATATCCGAAAAATGATATTATTTAAAATTTTAATAAAAATCATATATACGAATATAAAAAATATTATTTTGTGTATTACTTGTATCTCATTTTCTTTCTCAATGGCCATTTAGCTTGGTAACATTTTAGCTTCATTTGCAGTGTCCATTTTACATATTAGATGGTACATAGTAAGATGCTGACCAACTTTATGAAAAAGTATTTTTTTCAGCTATTAAAAAATATGTCCTGTATTAGAACAACAATACATGCCAATAATAAAATGACTCCTCTATTTAATTAATTATTTTTATTTAAATTTCATTTTGTAAGTCATGTACTACAAAATATCAAAATGAAAAATAATTTTTGCATAATTTTTATATAGAAAAAGGTTTATTTTAAAAAATTAATCTTATATATCACTGGAATTTTACCAAGGGATTAAAGAGATGCAGGGCATATCTCATTATAGTATATTTAAAAAATTCAACAAATTATTATAATAACTAAAATATAATATTTTAATATAATTTATAGAATTTAAAATTTTCACAGAATAATTTTTAATTTTATGGATGAATATGGAGTTTGAGTTTCGTATGCGCTAGCTAAGACCCAACTATAATTCATATGTCTAGCTCATATTAGATGTGATAATATTTTGGATTAAATCAGATTTAATTTAATTTTTTAAATAATATATAATATTAAATTTTTTTAAAATTTAAATTTTAATTTAAATTAAATTTTTTAAAAAATTGATTGAATAAAATTTTATAAATTCGATTAATCGTTTTTTTAAATTTATTATTTTAATATATTTTGCACCCGACCCATACACTTGTCCATGGTCCTATGTGGACCCCAGCAAATGGGTATATTAAGCAAATAAGATCAAGCCACGCGTACACCTGAATCGTCCAGATGTACAGTAGCTTTCGACGTGAAACCGACGAGCAACCCAACCCCACTTGACTTCGTTTTCAGTCTCACTTAAATTCAGTTGAAACCTTTTTCTCTCTAGTCTTGTCTTCAATATCTTTAACGGAATCCGATTCTGAACAAAAATAAATAAATAAATAAATAAATTCTTCAGGTTTTTTCCTTCTCTTAATCGAATCAGAATCTGAAACCCACACTTTAGAATCTTTTGTTTCTTCTTTAATTCCTCAGAATTCTCCATTTTTCTCTTGTCTTTTAGTTTTAAGAGGAATAAATCTCCATGCATTGATCTCTCCTTTTTTTATATTTTTTTGATGAATCTGATCAAAGTTCAAGCTTTTTGATACGATCACTTGTTTTATTTATATGATTTTCAAAATGGGTTTTTGATTTTTTGAGTAAAAAGGTTAAAACTTTTGTGATTTGAGATATAAAAGGTGCTTATTTTTTATTGGATCTTAAAAGGAGTTGACTGCTTTATAAGGGGTTGATTTAACTCTTGGGATTTTAATATGATCGTTGCAGTGAAAAACAAAAGGTGAAAGCTTTTCAGCTATGGAAGGTACAGTGTTTACTCTATCATTGGAAGGAATGCAGCATATCAAATCTCCACAATGGGAAATGCTTACTAAGCCTTTCCTGGAAGTCTGCAGGTTGATTTTGCCAGTCATAGGTTTGTTTTTATTATATCTTCGACTACGTCGAAGGGTTTCTGATTAACAGTTACTTTTTTATGTTAGGCTTGTTAGATTAGTTAACTTTTAGCATCTAATTTGAGTTGAATCGTCATGGAAATCTTTCTTCAAGTTTGTTTGTGGATCACTTGACTTTCCATCTCCTTCTTTGTGAAAAAGATTGTAACTCAATAGACATATTCGTGTGGTGAAATATTAGCAGCTGTATATTTAGTGTATTAGTATAGTTTTTTATATTAAAATTACGCGTTACAGTTCATTACATAATTTTTTTTATTTTTATTAAATTTATTATAATTTTTATTACTATATATATTTAATTTTTTTTCGTGTGTCAACCGGCAATAATTTGGTATGAGTGTCTAAGATTGCATTTCAAAGTAGATGTTATCAAACTCTGTGCGTGCGTGGTGCATGATAGACAGTTAAAGGCGGCCATCATTTGGATGTTAGACTATATCTCTTTCCTGATAATAATCCATGAATTGCAGATGTTAGACTTTGATGTTTTGAACAATAATATATGTGAAAGATTTCTTTAATTTATACCAACATTCATTAATCAGCTAACCTGTTGTCCTTGATGCATCTTTCTTGTGATAGTATGAAGCCCAAAGATAACATTTTTTTTTCTAATTTTTTCATATATCGGTAAGGAGAGAGTACTTGTGTTGCGAATACATTTTCTCTTTCTATAAACAATTATAGGTTGCCATTGAGCTGGCTCCAGATAGAAAGTTGTTTGTACCGAATTTCTGAGTTGAGGAATAAAACCTTGAAATCATAAGAGAGAAAAAAATGATTAAAATCTAAGGTTGGGAGTTTTCTTAATGTTTATACTGCAACATTCAAATCAAGTTGATCAAAGAAGAAAATAGGAAGCAAAAAGTGTAAAAGTAAGAGAATATGAGATGTATGGATAATATCTGGGTGATCTTATTTATAATTGAAAGTGAGAGTTTTGAGATAATTAAGTTATTTACTGTCAGTTTTATAATCAAAATAACTTGACAAATCGAGTTAATCTGAACGTTGATCATCCACTCAGAGATGACAAGTCAATATAAAAAAAGTTTTATGGATGAGTTGATGAAGTGGCCGAATTGACATGCTAGTGTACTTTTAATTTTTTGTTGATAACCTTTAAAGGGAAAAAAATTATTTTGCCTTTCAAACTTAAAAATGCCCTTAACAGAAGTTATAGACAATGACTTAAAGGGATGGGAGTCTGGTAGATAAACAATGAATGGGTTATGAGAGAATCAAAGTTCATGCATGGTTATTTTTCACATCGTAAATATTAATTTTTGGATTGCAAATACAATTTTATATGGTGAAATCAAATAATTACCAAATATATTGCGTTAATGCAGGCTAGTTTTGGTTTGGATGATACGAAGCCTCGATGGTGGAATAGTGGAGAGATGGATCTTGCTTCGACTTCTAAACCTTCGTATGTAAATAAATCGAATATAAATGAATAAACATATATTTATGTTTTATTCATTTAATTTTTAGAATTGTTTGAGTTCGATCGGTATTCGTAAGACAATTATCTTGTTTATTCAAACTCGGTTAGTTTAAACAAAAGTAGTTTAGATAATAAAATGATAACTAAAATTGGTTCCTTTTCTTCCATCCGGCATGTCTTGGATTGTAAACTGATATGAAGTCTGCCATTATCATCTTGAATGGTTCTGATACGAAGCCATCAATATGAGCAATTATATGCATAAAAGTATGAACTTAAAGTATAAAGTAAATTTCATCATAAGTGCTTAAGATTTAGCCAAAATTCAAGCTAAATTCATTAATTTCAGAAATGGACACTTCACCTCAAAATAGTTAATATCATTAACCAAATTTGAACAATTACAAAATTGTTCAAATGTGAAGTTAAAAAATTAGAAAAAAATGATTAAAAAATAAGAAAATTTCAAACACAACAAAAAAAAACCCATCAAATAATCTGAAGAGAAAAATTTTAAATCGTTTTAGGGGGAATTTTTTTCAGTGAAGATTTCAAAGAAAGAAACAAGAGGAGAAGGATGAATTTCTTTCTTTTTCTTTTTTTTTTGTGTGTGTGTTTCTTCTCAAGAAAAAAATGAAGGAAAATAGCAATTTTTTTTAGAAAGAAAAGAATTAATTTTTTATTTTATTTTGATAATGCAAATTTTTTTTTATCATTTAAAAAAATGTTTTGAATTTTTTATAACGCAGCCTTTTTAAAAATGATAACAAAAAATTTAGAAAAGCGCAAGAAAACTTTTATTAAATTTAAGAAGATTACCAATATTTATTTATATATATATAAAAGAAATAGAAATATTTATAAATTTTGTCTGAATTTAATCTTCATATTTCTCACGTCTATACGATGCAACTTTGGTTGATAAAAAAAAAATTCTCATTTTCAATTGGATTAACTGTAGTGGATTAAAATTAATAGTATGCATGTATATATATAAATATAAATAATTAAAAAATGAAGTGTCCAAAAATATAAGAAAAAGAAGACAAAGGAAAATCATTGGGAATTTGCTATTCATTCCCTAACACGCTTTTCCCTCGCATTCATTAAAAGAACGTTATAAAAAGAATTACAAACCCAAAAATAGGCAATGCCTCGTTGGGAAGGATATTGAGCTTAACCTCTCTCTCCCTGGATTTTCCACCTGAAAATTCGGTCAGCTACTGGTTCTCCATTGGCCCCACAACGCGTAGCTTCACCCTGCCGCCAAAACAAAAATTCTCCATCGTTTCACTTCCATACTTTGAGATCTTTTTCCTTGATTGGCAAAAACAATCAAGAATTGAGGGAGTTCAGCCTCCTCTTTCTCCTTTGGCAAAACTTTGGCATGCATTGATAGGAATTCAAGATTTCTGAAGAGGAAGTAAAAGTTGTTTCATCATCAGCTGATGCAGTTTTCCATGTATGTCACCAATAACATTTTTGTATTATAATTCTAAATATGATATTCATTTTTCATTGCAACTTGCGTTCTGTTTCTTTTATGCGATGTATCAACACAGACTGTGGATTATATTCTTGCTTTCTTTTTACTTCACCTTTGAGAAAACAAGCGCCTTCTTCTACCTTGGGGAGGAAGATTTCATATTTACATTGCCAAAGGATCCACCATTATTGACAGAAAAAATGAAGGGTCTTCTAAGAGGTTTAAAATACATTTCCAATATGTTTGGTGAGTACCCAAATTTTTCCATAAACCATTTTTTGTAATGTAAATGAGAGGTTTCAGCATTAGTATTCTCATCTAAACGATGTTGAGTAGGAATACATTGACAATTTTGCAGATGAAAAGGAACCAGAAATGCAAATTGGGCTTCCTACAGATGTAAAACATGTTGCTCATATTGGTATGGATGGTCCTTCTGCCAATAAGCCGAGCTGGGTATGATGTCAGAATTTTCTTTTCCTTTTTCAAGTAACATTACCATGTTAATGGCCGTGGATACTCAAAATGTTCTTCTTGTGTTGACCAAGCTTGTTCGCTCAGGAGGAAACCATATTCATCAAGCATATATTTTCTATTTTCATTTAGAAAATATGATAATTAGTTAATTACCTGGTTTTTTAAAATCCCTTCAGATGAGTGAGTTCAATTCTGCTCCAGAGCTCTCATCAGTTCCTCTAAATGGTAATCCCCAGGTGAAACAGCCTTCGGCTGCAGGTTTGTTCCTTTTCTGTTTTTCAGTAACCATGATCTTAATAATCATTCAATATAAAGACAAGTAATTGAACTCTTGAAAATAGCAGATTTTGTTCTTTCCATTTACCTTTCAGATTCAATTTCATCAGCAACAAAGTAGAGATAATGTCATTTTCGTGCAGGAAATCATGACTCATTGCCACCTCTTGCCAATGAGAAGCAAAAGAAGCAAAGGCGCAAACCGTCAATAGGTAATGGCTCACCTACAGGCTCTCCAAAAGGCATCGAGAAGCATTCTAGGCGCCACCGTTCATCAAACCTTTCGATTGAATCCCCTGGTCGAGATTCATCTTGCCATGGAAGGCGGCACCAGAATTCAAGTCGTGGCAGTGACTCATCTTCGCAAGAGTTACCTGACGTCACAAGAGGATCTCGGCGAAAGAAACCAAAGGGATCATCAGGCGGATCAGAGGGATCTACGTCATCAACAAGATCAAAAGGTCCAAGTTCTTTGCCTGATATCATGGAGCTTGAATCTTGAGGAGAAGGAAGCTTAAGAAAGTGGAATAGAGTAATTTGTAAATTAGAGATTTTAAGAATTACCACTGCATTGAAATGTAATTCCAGGGAAATTCTTCTTCTTCTATTATGGTTTTTCCTGTAGCTTTAGCTTGCATGGTTTTGATGGGCTCATTGCTCTTCGCTTGTAAGGCTTAGGTTCAAGTCCCGCTATCAGCACTTCTCTTTGGTCCGTGAACAATAAATCTAATTTAAGGCCTCTTTGAGACTTACCATCTGCTCGAGCTCTGGAATGAAAAGCCTCCCCTCATCCTAAACTTTCTTTACACCAAAAAAGATCCAAGAGAACACGGGAATAGAGTAATGAATTTGAATCTCGGGAACTTACAGAAAAAACAAAATATGCATTCAGATAAAGTTTATGCTTTGAATTTTGAAACTTGCCAATGAAAAGCCCTTTCCATCATCCCCATTGTCGATTGTTACAGCTGCATAAAAAAACTATGACATCTACCACTTAATCCAAATGAAAGGAAGAATATGAACTGCTAAGCTGATTATGTTCTATTTCCTTTCTTAGAAGCAGATACGGTTCTTGGATGGTGTCTGCTCCGGGAAGTAGTCAAGGCAAGTGTTTCTATCCAATAATTCGAATGAAGACAAGTTATATTAATCAAAATCGTAGGGTGGCACTCTAGAGTTTCATGTCTGTCTCATTCAAAACCACTTCATCGCAAACAGCATCTAGAAAATCTTCAGGCTATTGCATCATTGATCTTGCTCAATGTTGAAATCTTGCAGCTCAGAGCATATTTCTAATGTTCAGTTAAAAGAGGTCAAATAATAAGACAATGAACATATTCAAAGCCTTTTTAAACATGTTGAAGAACCAAAAATTATTTTATGGCGATTTAAGAAATTCAAAGTCATAAACAGTAAGCATAAAAAGAAAGAGAAGAACATTCCAGCCAAGTCTTCTAACTAAATACTTTTGTTCAAGACCGAAGAACCAAAGATAAATACATCCAGGGAAATAAAAGCAGAAACAATACAATATCAACAAGCTAAGCCTTATATCCCATTCTTGGGTTGGCTGTAAAAACAGAGATAATAGAATTCTAGAAATTTCACATTCAAATACCAGTCTGATCTACTTTGCTTTGGTCAAAAAAGCTGGATTCACATTTGCATTCACAGCATTTAATAGACAATAGCCAATGTGGCCTTCTTGTGGATCCCATACTGATCCAAAGAAATGTCATCATGCAATGCCGCCTTTTCAAATAGCACTTCCTTCACTGGAATTCCCTTTTTCGATCGAAGCAATTCTTTCACATCTCGGACAGTGGTCAAATGAGATATATGCCTACTAATTTTGCTCACTTTCATATGCATGATGGTTGATGAGGGTGCAAAAACCATACAAAGAGTGCTATGCTTCTGGATGCTGTAACTGGCCAAATCACGTCCTTTTTCAAGTCGTTTTCCAGCAAATACAATACTCTGAAGATGAACAGGAATCTTCAGCTTCTGAAAAATCTTATCCTTGACATCTTGGACGGTTGAACTCTGCTTTACATCAAGAGTTAAGGTTCTCCCACTCCAGGTTCTAACAAATATCTGAAATTGTGGATGCAACATCTCTAGCATAGATTCCTCTTTGATGTCATAACAAGCCAAGATTTTGGAATCCTCAAGCTGCTGTCCTAAATAGAACAAACTGCCTACTGAGGAACCCAACTTGCCCCCAGCTATAGCTTTGACATCAGCCACAGTAAATGTAACCTTAACTTTGAGTTTCACAACTTCTCCAGTTAGTGCTTTCACATAAATTGACAGCACATCCTTTGGGCAGAAAACAAGACAAATGGTTGACTCATTCTTTACATTGAGAGAGCTCAGAATCCTATCCTCTTCAATTAGTTTTCCTTCATAGACAAGCGAGAACTGATCCATTTCTATCCCCTCTCTCAACTGGATCGATGACTTGATCCTTTGGACAGTATCAAGAGCCCTTGCTTCAACCACAATGGTCCTCTTCTCTGATGGTATTTTGACAAGTAATTTAAATCTAAAAAAATTATTGACAACTACATGGTCTGTCAGATTACCAAGATAAACTAGCCTTTCATCATCCTTGAGCGGTTGGCTAGAAAAGGAACAATCCTGAATATTCTCGGAAATGATTCCCTTCTCATTGAAATTTTTTATAGTTTCAGTAGGTTTAACTTTCCGGTCCTCTTTCTCTATGTCCATGAGATGCAAGTATTCAGCAATCTGCAAACAAAGACAACTCAGAATAAGCATACGAAAGCATATATTGCCTGAAACTCAAAACCTTGAGTATCTTGTGAACAGCGAAGAAACTTTTTCTGCTACCTTTTCCAAAATGATATTCATTAGAGAGATTGGAACTAGTTTTTCTCTCATTCTCCACTTTTTCCAATATGGAATTCATTGGAGAGATTGGAACACCCCTTCAATTATTCTTTTCCAGGTCTTCAAAACTAGTTTTTCTCTCGTTCTCTCCTACCCAGTTTCTTATCTATATCTTTCTCCAATAGAAATGACTGAATAACAACAACGCAATCAATCATAATACCAATCAACCAAAGGCACCTTAGCATAATCCATGGTATCATCTAATACAAAACACTCAAAAACATCTTAGGTATCATTTCACTTTAACATTCAAAGATCAATACTTTAGTATAAAGGTATTTCCATATCAGAAAATTCATAATATACAGCAAGCACCAGATTATTCCCAAAAGAAAAAAAAAAAAAAAGAAAACCCAGAAAAATAAAATGTTTGTGGAACCAAGATTAACCTTCTACATTTCCAGAGGAAACTTATACGAGAAAATTAACGCAAATTGAACCAAACATACCCAAAAGCCAAAATTTAACATGGGTTTTTCCATTCAATTCTCTCGTACAAGAAAAAAGAAAGAAAAAAGATCATTTGTTTTTTTCAAAGAAGGAAAGGAAAAGAACCTCTTCTTCTGAGAAGTCAAAGGGTCTCCGAGCTCGTGATGGTTCCATGTAGATTCACTGATCAAAGCCTATCGATTCAGATTGCAAAAGAAACAAAAAAATTAAAAGAAAAACAGCGGAGAGAGAGGATTAGTTCCATGTAGATTCACTTATCAAAGCCTATGGATTCAGAATGCAAAAGAAACAAAAAAAAAAAAAAAGAAAAACAGAGAAGAGAGAAGATTAGTGAGAGAGTACCCGTGTCACGAGCTGGACTTATGCCAACGTTCAAAAGAACAAACGAAAGGCAATGGCTGGAAAATAGGAGAGTTGCTAGTAATGCTGAAACTTGTATGGTAAAATGCATCATTGTAAGGTCCCTTTTATACTGGAAGCCTCCATGAGGCTTATATGAATCAATGGTCAGGATTGAATTAATCCAACGGTTCCAAGATTACATATGACGAAATCATCCCTTCACCTACCTATCCCTTAACCGACCTAAAAGGTTTGTTTCCGCAGTTGGATTCTGGATTCGTAGCAGCCTGTTTTGTCCAGCTGTTGCGAGCCGCCTTTGTGCCTGTTGCGAATCCAAGGCTTGAGTCCTCTTAACTAATCTGCTGATGGCGCGTGAGCCTCGGGCGACACGCGCGGGCCGTGACACCATAAGAGCTATCCTTGTGCTCTAAGGAAAGAGTTAAAAAGGAACTCTTTCTTTCTTTCTTTCTTTATTTAAAGATTTAAACATTAAAACAAAATTGTGAAATAAAAATAAAAATTCAATTTCAACTTTGTTAAGAAGTATCTAATTCTATTCCATTTACATATATTTTGGGCTTTAAATAAGTAAAAATTTGTGTATATAAGGTTTTTTTATACTTTTATTAAATAGATGCATAAAAAATATATAAATTTGTAAGAATATCATACATAATTATGAAAAAAATTATTTGATACATTATTAATAAAATTTTTTAATTTTATAAATGAAATTAATAAATGACACATATTCACTTTTTAATTAAATTTTTATTTTTTAAATATATTTTAAAAAACATATATCACCATATTAATTTTATTAGTAGAGTTAAAAATTTATACCAATAATATATTTGACAATTTTTGTAACTATAAATGCTAAATTTTATTGAAAAATTTGCGTCAAATCATTGTCGTTTACTTTGATAATAAGTCTTTCGTAATGGGAAAAAATGTAAATAGTTTTCTAGTAATCCAAGACGTGGAATTCACTTGGATCCCAATGATTTTCATAAATAAATAAATAAATAAATATATATATATATATTATGACTTGATAAATAAATAGATAAGAGGAAGGAAACATATATTCATATGATTTGTTGATAAAATATTAAGATTTTAAATCAAATAATTAAAATTAAAATTTTGATGTCTTAAATTCAAAAAAAAAAAAAAAAGAAGTGAAAAAATTAAAAAATATCTCTTTATATGATTCATTTAGTATTTTTAGGAGTCTATTAAATGTTAACAATTTATGTTTAATTTATCAATAAGTTATTGGTTCAATCGATTAAGATTCGTTTTTTTTCGTCAAGAAATTTTAAGTTTAAGTCTTGTCAGTAGCTACTTGTTGAAATTATTTTGACTATACGATTTTAACAAGCTAAACAATGAAAAATAAATAATTAACATACATGATCTTTATTCGACTTATATTTTAATTTTTTTTATATTTATTATTTAAGTAGTGATTCAACAAGAGGAAAATTCTCTAGCTGAATTGTTGGGAACAATATATAAATATATATGTAAATAATTCGAGTTCATATATATTTTTAAAAAAGATATTCAATGAATGGATCAAATGTTAAAATCTATAACTTTGTTTTTAGTCTCAAATTTCCACATTCTCTATAAAAAAACAAATATGAGTGTCTACAATTAAGAGATAAAAATATTATGTTAAAAAAATATTTACTTATAATATATTTTTCACCTAATCTAATAAGAGATAATGGATTAATTTAAAATTTTTTCTTTAAATAACATCTTAACCGGTGTCTAATGATACTTGTTAACACTTCCTAGCAGGGATTTAAATAATGGTCAATGTCACATTTTCGATCGCGTCGCGTTTATTGTATTTTTGGATATAACGGAGATCATTGAGGTCACTGCAGTCATCGTTATCGTGAATTTTTTTTTGCACAATTTATTATAAAATGTAATAATTATAATTATAATTATAAAAACTCTTATTCAATGATTTTTAAAATAGTTTATGACACTTTATGTTTTTTATTTTTTTAAAAAATTATTCACAATTTTATTTAGATTATAAAAAGCATTCATATTTGGTTTATCTACAAAATTTTTCTTGGTCAAATTCATATTCAATATTAATTCTAGACAAATCAAATATTAACAAAACATAATATGTTAAACACCAAGCATTTATATTTAATAAAATTACAAATTTAAAAATATAATAATTTCAAATTCCATCAACTATAATTATTGATATATATTTTAAATTTTACCATATGGTAGAATGACGAGGAGGATCAGATTCTCTATTTTCACTTTGAGAGCCAACTTGACTCCATCTCTATCCTTAAAGCCTTTGTTCTTAATACATTTGAGGTTGATGATATATTTACAGATGATACATTTATGGTGGGGGATACATTTGTGGTGGGGGATACATTTATGATAAATGATACATTTGAGGTGAAGGATACATTTGAGGTGGATAATAACCATATAAAGGTGGATAACCATGAGGAGGTCGAAAATCAAGTTGTTTCGGTGGATAGTAATGTCCTTGAGTACTAACAGATGATTCACTATACTCAAAGTTACTAGAATTTAATCTCTCACCTGAAGATGAAAAACCTCTAGAAATATCATATGGTATTTCTTGGCTTTTCCTTTTGATCGAACTATACATGCACTTTGACCCTCACTAGATTCAACAAATGGATTTACTCTGTATTCTGTCATATTAATGAAAAGTCCACCAGTAGCAGCAAGCCCAAATTTTCCTTCAAGTGGGTTGTAAGGTCGATTTGCATCCATATTATCATCAAAATTCGTACCATCATCATCTGGACTTAAATCACCACCATCATCACTCTGACTTAGTGTTGGACTTGAACTTGAATGAGACACATTCCTTTCTTGAGATTGCCGTAATTGTTCAATATTCATTTCATTGTCAGAATTATCTGCAAGTAACCAATAAGAGTTTTGACCATCTAACAGAGGATTTTCTTTCTCTTGCAGTCATTCTGTTAGTGGATCATCATCTTAAAAAATATGGTCAAGGCCAATATGATTAAAACTATTATCTATCTCATTAATGCTCATTATTTTTTGATGTCTCATCTTCAACCTCATGTTATAATAGGTATACACAAGTTTTTGAAGTCTTTCAAACTTTAATATGTTTCTTGCTTTGGTGTGAATATAGCTAAATGTGCTCTAATTATGGTCACAATTTGATGCATATGTTGTTTGATTAAGCACTTTGATTGCTAGTTTTTGTAATTCAGGAACACAAGTGTCATATATCATCCACCATTTAATTTTGTAAAATTATTTAAATTAAATTTCAATGTGCTATATAATTAAATAATATAAATAAATTATAATTATTTAATTTACTATTTACCTGGAATCATTTGCTTCCAAGCTCTTTGTGCTTGTGGAGTACCAAATGTTTCATGCTTGTCTCGAAATAATAACAACTACATCGATTGAAAATACAATAATCAATGAATAAATAAAAATAATTTAATTTTTAATACATAAAATAAATGTTAAAGTTATAAAATAATATTAAATACTAACCTGATTAATCATTCTGATTTGAATATCTATCGAAGGTTTTAATATTTCAATAACTGCTTTTATACCTTCTAATGTTTCTTTAAATACATTTGTAGAATGTTCCACTCCAAATTAAAATTGTGGATTTAGATAGTAACATAAACATAATTAATAATAATATTATATTAAAGTAATAAAAAATAAATATATAAGCAATTTAAGTATAAAAAATAAACTTATTTTTTAAATACTATCTATATTCTTGGTTTACTTACCAGCTGAATGTAAGTTAAAGTGCATGAAACTCCATTTATTGTCAATAATCTTTTCATATTCAATAAAATAACGATAATTTTACTGAATTACTTGTTTAGCTTTATCCACAGCCTCGTAATTAAAGCCCATTGTTGGTATTTTCATCACCATCCACAAAGCGCAACATTTTTACCAAAAGCTTATAAACTTTTATTATATCGCCTGCTTTTTTTCAAAAATCTTTTCCAAAAATGATTTTTTTGGCGTCATAAGCAGGTCCTGATTTTTGTTGTCCCCATTTTGAATCTTTAAATTCTTATATATTCATCAATAAATTTTTAAACTAATATATTTTAAATTAATATTTTAAACAATGATATCATAAAAGGATGCTAGATTTAAATAGTTGTACTAATTACTAAGTACTAACTTTTGAATTGAATATCTTTCTCAAACCTTGCTTTTGTCTCATTATTTTTTCTAACTGAATGAAATGAGTGACAAATCGGGTAAGAGCATGATGAAGTATTTGCTTCTTTTGTGTATATTTTTTCATTAAATTAACAGTCAAAATGTGATTGTTTATAAAACAAATCGCTTTCTTTGCATCATCCAAAACCTTTGCCATATTTTTTTTCTTCCCAATATCTTCAAGGCACAAGTCCAAATAATAAGCTGAACATGCTATCCAATACAAATGTTTTCTCTTCTCCATTAGTTTTTTTTCCTGCGGCCTTAAGTGCTACCTCATTATTAGTGACTATTTGAACAATGTATTTTTCTCTAATTTCTTTCACAACTTCATCTAATAATCTGTAGTAAAAGTTTGCATCTCTACTACAAAAACTTGAGACATCTACATATTTTCAAAAAATGGTCCCTTTACTACAGTAAACAAGGAAATTAATGATATGCATTTGATTCAAACTATTGGTCCAACCATCACACATCAAAGTGACACCCAATTCATTTCAATGAGCTTTTAATCTATTAACTCATTCATAAACTTGTTGATACTCAGACTTTAAATACACATCTAAGACCTCATAAGGTGTTGAAAGTTTTACATGTTGATCAACTTTTGCTGTCACAGAAATCAAATTATGCAACCATGAAGAATTTGAAAAGGAAGTCGATCATATATAAAAAATTTTGATACTGATTCACCCATCTTTCTTCTTAATGTCTTTAAAAATAAATCACTTACTTTTGGTTGCATTGAACTCTTACTTCTAACCAATTCAGGTATAACTCCCCTTAATGAAAATTCAGACTCATTTGGAGTTGATTTTTTTATTTTTTTATTTTTAAATATTCAGCAACTGAGCCATGAGAGCCTCGTCCCTCTTTATATATGTTACTTCAACCACTAGTTCTTTGTCTAAATTCTTGTCTTCTGTGCCACTCATGTTGTGATTGGATGCTATCTCGCACGACTTGTTTAGTAGTGATGTCTTCATCAATAAATCATTCATAATCATCTTCCCCTCTTAACTATGATAAAAATTTATTTTTTCTCCTTTTGTTGTCAGTTGTTTTTAATTTACTTTCTTGAAAGAGTTTCATCATACTTTCTTTTACTATACTTATTAATAATATAGTTAAAAAAAAAGGAGAAAATTAGTTGCACATGCTTATGTAATTTTATAATTTTTATTAAAAAATTAACAATAATATTTTCAAAAGAATTAAAAAAACATAACATACCAGTAACATTAGGACATGGTGCAACATTGCCAATTTTATGAGTAATGTGTTTTTTAAAATGTGTTATTCCTCATTTTACAACTTTACCACAAAGTTTACATGAAATATTTCCTCTTGTATTTGGCATAGGTGTTCTAAAATACCAACCTAATAATTACTTGACGCGCCCTCTACTCCTTTACTCGGAAACTATTCATGTGATGGCATACTTGCTATTTTGTATAAAAACAAAATAAACTTATATTTAAAAATATTAATATTACTTATTACATCATTAAAAATTGATTTTACGCTAAATTTTTTAATTTTTAATTTTTAATCTTAAGAATATTATTAAATAACTTAATCTTTTTGATACACTAATTGATATAAATTTTTTTTATCACAAATAACTTTCAATAATTATATAATAAATGCAATCTTCAATAATTACACAAAAATAACAAGAATTAATCTAATATCAAAAAAATTGACAACAATATAAATATTAAAACAACAAAAAAAATTATTAAATTTCATATACAAAATTATAAATTAATATCTAACACAATCAAAATATAATATTTAATTTTAATTAATTTTCATCTAACTTATACAAAAAACTTTATTAAAAAAATTTATCTAAAATCTCTATATATATCATATTAAATTATTAATCTCTTAATTTTTTTTAATTATAAATCTTCAATCCCTCTAATTAATTTTATCTAAAAAAAAATTCAAAAATTAAAAATTTTCAAACTTATATTTTAATAAAATTTTCAAACCTATATTTTTTTTATTTTTTAGTTTTTAATCGTAATAAGAGTAATAGATCATAAAATGCTAAATTTACTAAGTAACTTAATCTTTTTGATACACTAATTGATATAAATTTTTTTATCACAAATAACTTTCAATAATTATATAATAAATATAATCTTCAATAATTACACAGAAATAACAATAATTAATCTAATATCAAAAGAATTGACAATAATATAAATATCAAAACAACAAAAAAAATATTAAAATTCAGATACAAAATTATAAATTAATATGTAACATAATCAAAATATAATAAACACAATCTTCAATAATTACACAAAAATAACAATAATTAATCTAATATCAAAAGAATTGACAATAATATAAATATCAAAACAACAAAAAAATATTAAAATTCAAATACAAAATTATAAATTAATATGTAACATAATCAAAATATAATAAACACAATCTTCAATAATTACACAAAAATAACAATAATTAATCTAATATCAAAACAATTGACAATAATATAAATATCAAAACAACAAAAAAAAATTAAAATTCAGATACAAAATTATAAATTAATATATAACATAATCAAATTATAATATTTAATTTTAATTATTTTTCATCTAACTTTAACAAAAAAATTTATCAAAAATTTTTATCTAAAATTTATATATATTATATTAAATTATTAATCTTTTTTTTTTTAATTATAAAATTTCAAAACCACTAATTAAATTTTATGTAAAAAATTTTTAAAAATTAATTACAAAATTAAATAAAAAATTCAATCCCACCCTCCTAACACCCCACCACACCCAATCCCTCCCCACCCCATCCAATCTCTCCCCACGTGCCTAATATCCCCAATTTGTTTAATTATTTCCAGCAGACCCTTCTAGAAACGCACTTGCTCTCTTTTGTTCATCTTCTTCTTCGTGCTGCCTTCCAGAGCTTGGCTTTTTAGAATTTTCTTTTTCTCTCTTTTTGTTTTGTCATTTTTCATTTTCTCTCGCATCCTTTTATCATTACTAACCTACGAAATATCTCGTTCGTCTATCAAACTCTCACAACATACATGATTTTACAAAAATTTTGTAAAAAAAAAAAAGTAATTTAACTTTCTTTTCTTACTTGCTTAGTACCTATGGAATACCTCGTTCGTCTATCAAACTCTCACAACAGACATCATTTTACAAAAATTTTGTAAAAAAAAAATGTAATTTAACTTTCTTTTCTTACTTTATTTGATTTTGAATGTTGATTACTTGATGTTGATTTAAATTTGGGTGTCGAAATGCCGATTGAATGGTTAAAATTTGAAATAATTGGTCTATTTTTTAGCTCATTTTTAGATTTATTTTGATGTTAAAAATTTGAGATTTTGAGTTTTATTTTTTGCTTTTGCTTTTTTACTTTTACTTTTGCAAGTTATTGCTTTATTCTGCAGACTTAAAATTTTTTTTTTTGAACTATTAGATCCGTGATTAGAAAAACGGAATAGCTTATTGCTACTATTTTTCGTTACGCCATTATTTTATGACCGTTACTCTTTGTTTTTACTGTGAATGAAATTCTCAATCGCGTTTTATCTAATAACGATGACAGGTGATGACGTTACTACAATTTTGCGGCTGCTATTCCGTTATTAAACCGCTATTTGAATCCTTGCAGTTCCGGTAAGAGAGAGATCAAACTTCAATTAGTTCCATGGAGAATGTTGACCAGTTCCATAGGCATGGCTTGAAAGCTCTGGGGTGTGGACCTACTCTAGTCTTAAACAGTTTCAAGTTATAAGAAAAAGGCAAGGGAAATTGAGGGGAGAATGAAATAGTTACAAAAGGTTCAATATCAACAGCATGAAATGTACCAGGAAGAGTACATATGGATATGTACTCATGCTGCACTTCATTTAACATTTTTTTCTTCAACTGAACAAAAACTAGCAAATATCAATCGCTAGTGTCTTCGAACAGTGACAAAGGGAGTGGAACTGAAGTGAGGCGATAGCTTAGGTGATAAATCATCGCATTGTTGCGAGAAGGGAGTGCTTGGGGTGAGTGGAAGCTTGTTTTCCAGGGGAGTTAATGGTAGTGGACTCAAGGGGAGATGATTTGTTATATGCAGACCTGCTGGCCGTAAGCAAGCCAGATAACCATTGTTGCATATTGGCAGTTTGCAAGCCTTAAAAGTGGCTTCATTGTCTTTCTGCACGGGTGCCCCAGTCGGATCCTGCACATGCAAAGTATATGTTAAGTGTATGTACGTTTGAAGCTTAAAGACAGATTTATGAATGACGTACCCCAAGCACTAGAAAGTGAAGGCTTGATTATCTGCACCAAGATAGATTTCAATCAACTTCCGGAGATCAGCAAGTGTTGCATCTTTTACAACCTTCAATGTTGTAATAAACATTCCAGGATTTTCCTTAGATGCTTCCCATTTCACATAGACTTCAATCTGGGTATCAGTGCAGTCATTAGGTTGGTTTTGGTTCTCCTTAAAGGATGCTGTCATTAAACCAGCTGGTGAGTTTTCCTTGTTCAAACTTTTCACAACAGAATCATCTGAAGCAATCATATTTCGGGACCAATGAGGATGAATGGTTTTGGGCATTACTTTGGCAGGTGTTGGAGTTCTTATTTGTTGAGAAAGCTCTCTTTGGTTCCCACATAGGGTAAATATGTTTTGGATTCTTGATCGTCTGGAAGAGGCTGTATCAGAATCTAACACCCTCTTTTCCTCTATTATCACCTTCTCAACTTCTTCATCTTCCACACTCTCTTTTTGTTCATCCTCTTCTTCTTCCTCATATACAGTGCTCAGGCTTACTTTTGCACCAAACTGTGGTGCAAAACCATCATGATTTGCAGCCTGAGGATGATTCAGAAACCCTTGAATGCTACTACTTTCAGATTGCTTGACAGCTTTATCCGTGTGTTTCACATCACGAATAAATGGATCTGGATCACCCATGTCTAGGTCCATTGACTTGACCATCCCTGGAACCTCATCACCATACATTCCAATTAGCCTTTTGGCAAAGCTGCTTCCTGGATCCGACTCTGCCTCATTTACCTCTCCATTTCCATCCCTTGAACGGCATAACTCGAACTCAATTTCCTGCAATCGTCTTCTAAGCATCTCTACTTCTTCTTGCTGCTGCAGAATTCTTTCTTCCATTCTTCTCCTTTCCATCTCAACAAATTCCTCAGCCATTCGCCTGCATTCATCTAGTTTCTTCTCCAACTCAAGTTTTAATATCTGTGTACGCTCATTTACCTTTGAGTTGATTTCTTCTTCAGTTTCCCCAGAACCCTTCCCTTCCACAAGTGCTCGTAGTGCCGCGACTTCTTCTTCTTTCTTCAAGAGCTCTTTATGTGCTTCATCTCGCTCCTTCTCTCTGAGCTTGTTCTCCAGCTTTAGTTTATTTATAAACTGGTCCATTGCTGCTATCCTGGATCCCAAAATAAATGTAGATGAAGAATCTTCATTTTTGTCCTTGATTTTTGTATGCGTACCACGGACAATACATTTTGCTTTAGCTCCATACTCAAGGGTGCAAATTGTCTTGTGTATCTCCTTGGGATCTGGACTTGCACAAAGTATCATTAAAATCTTTGACTGATCATCCTCAAAAGAATCCTGGGGAAACAGTGTGTTTGCAGCACATGAGACATACTTGAAAAACATTGTGAACCACCATGAATGACAACTATGAGAATGGAGCTTACCTGGAGCAACATTGTCAACTTACTATCTCTGAAGGGCACATGAGAATCTCCGTTTGCAATGGATTCAACAACTCTCTTCAGTGCTATGTTTCCCTGGTTTATCTTTGCTGTCTGCAATTCTCAGTACATTCACGGTAAATTAGAAATCTTTAGTGGATAAAATGCCTAAGAAATCCTGGATATTAGATTGTTAATGAATAATCAAGTACAAAATGAACAACATATACTCAAAGAAACAAAAGAATCCTGATAGATTTTACCTGCATTTTTGCCTCAAATCCAACTTGACCTGCTTGATCAATATTTTCAGAACCTGCCATGTCCACAAGCATCAGCCTTCCTCCAACCGTTGGAACATCAAGGATTATCTATGCAGATTGAAACAGATGTTAATTTTTCCATTAGCAGAAGACTTAAGACAGGTTACTTTGAAAATTAAAGATTTAAAAAACCATACCATGCAGTGACTTCGAGAACTTCTGTCATTGCAGAGAGTGCTTTTGACAATTCTTCTCTTCTCTACTTTCTGAATCTCTTTTGAAATCTTTCCAGCTTCAATTCCAGATATGAAAGTTGCATTCTTAGCTTTCTTTCCCATTACTTCTAGTTTCACCTGCAAATACATAACACATCAAAATTTTATAAGATGGTGATGGTGAGTAAAGAAAAAAGCAGCCCTCCAAGATTTATCATGGAATACTCTAGCTACAAGTATACTAGGAATATTACTTCAATGCCTTTTTTAACAAAAAATGAACCTCTAAGTTATATGACTGTTATTTTATTAGCACATAAGTTGCCTAAGATCATTGATGAATTGAATTAAGTTTGGTTCATATCATCTCAATGTCATTTTCATTGAAAAACTGAGCCAATTAAGCTGTGTGAGTATAATTAGCACATAGGATTGATAAATTTGCAGAAAATTTAACAAATTGTATTACCACAATCAAATCATGCAATTTTCAATCAAAGCGAGGCTGGCTTTAGCAGAATTACAGAATTTCATTTTTGATAAATATTTAAGTAGGAAAATCATATCCCATCTTCTCGTTGGACCATAAAAACCAAACAAAAAGAACAGTACAAATAATGTAAATATCAAACAAAAAATTAACTTAAAGTCTTAAATCAGCCCTGCAAAAAAGTGAGTCGAATCACCAATATCCTCAATAATTTAAACAGAAAAACTCCAGTCATCAAGAAATCAAAGCGCAAGAGACTTTAATATATGACTTACTTTAGATCCAGCTCCACCTTTAGGCCATCCAATTCCAAAACCACCTCCTCCGTGACTTGACAAAAGATCATAAATTTCCTCATTATAAATCTCCAAAACAGTAACTTGAACATAAGTTACAATTCCCAATCTTTCCCCTTCCCCTCCACTGTCTTCCTCTCCATGATCCCCCAATATATCTTTTAATGACCTATAAACTATCCCAGGCTGCTTTGAACACCCAAACATGGTATGACTCTTTCCTGAACCAGTTGGGCCATACATCATAATAGTACACTTAGCTCCCATTTTCACCCCATTGATTCGTGACTCAACAAACTTCTTGTAAAATGTATCAAGATCTTCTTCCTCGGATGAAGAAATCCCATCCAGGGAAAAGTCCCGGTACCCGATATCAGCCCGGACTCGCAGAGTCTTGTTGTCAGGATTGATATGGAGAAATGAAATGGGGTTTTTATCATTTTGGTCACCAGGATAGTTTCTTATTCTACCAATGACTTCTACAGGGTGTTCCCCTGGTGGGTTTTCTTTAGCTAAGGAGTTTATGTTTGGAGAAGGGTGTGGGTTATTTCTTGTTGATGAGAAGTTGAGTCGGTGCTTGGATTGGGGCGTTCTCAGCTGGGTTTGGCTTAGTTTCGAAGAAGAAGATGGGGTTGGAGCCATTTTTTTGGTTTTTTGTTTTCTTGGAAGATCGAAGAAGAACGAAAAAATGGAAATGCAGAGACAGAGGTATTGAGAAATTCTTGAAAACTTTTAAAATTTAAAATATTAAAGTAACCGTTACCGGTTCCAACGTCTATTTTCATTTTTTTTTCTTTTTTAATTTGTGATGGTTGGACTTTAGAAAGGAGAGAAAAAAATGTAAAAGATGGGCCTTCAATAAAATGGGTGGTAGTTGTCACCCCACCCGACCTAATTTAAAAGTTTGGGAGTCACTTAAAAAAAAAAGAAAATGGTAAAAAAAATCTTTGAATAAAAATTCAATAATTAATTAAATTTTTAACATTTTATTACAATTAATCAAATTTTAATTTTTTTTTTAATTTCGGATCAGTTGAACCCATAAACATTTATTTTCATCTAATTAAATCATTAAACATTATTTTTACCCCAATTAAACCCTTAACTAGACATAAATGGATGTTGATGTTTAGCAAATTTTTATCTAATATGAACTTAATTGATGAAAAAAAAATAAATGCTTGAGAATTTAATTGATTGTAATAAAAGTTTAGATGATTATTAAATTTTTATTCCAGAGTTTATTTTACCATTTAACCTAAAAAAACTAAAATTTCTTAAAATTTATTATACCATGTTTAAACAAAAAAAAAAAAAGAAAAAGGAAAAATCATGTTAACTTAAATTGCTAGCATTTTAAAATACATCAATACAAAATATTGAAAATTTTGGATGAAAATTTTTGAAAACGCTAACATTTTAAAATATATCAACTCAAAATAACAGAGTTTGTAATTGTATTGTTTGGATAATTATTTTTTTAAAAGAATTTTAAATATTAAAATTTGATGAGATACAAAAATAAATATAATAAAAAATAATGATATTAGAGATAAGAAAAGCAAAATACTAAAAAATATATATACAACATGGGTGTCAATAAATTTGTAAAAATATGTAGATATTACTAATAATATGAAAATATTAAAAAATAAATTTTATAATGAGTTTTGTAATTAAAATTGAAGAAAACAAAAGTTGTGTAAAAATAAAATATAATATATGTTGATTTCTTATTATAAAATCAAGGAATTTCACAAATTGTATTTACTTAGGTGAAATTTGAAAAGAGAATTTAAGCCGTCCAAAATTTCTTATTCAAATTTCAAGAATTTTGACAAGTCAAACTTTATTTCGTCAAACAAGATAATTTTATTTATTTTGAAATTTTAAAAGTTTTTCTACAAATGAAATCTACCATTGAAAATCTTCATCCAAATGGCCTTAAAACTTCTTATACTATGTTAAAACCAAAAAAAAATAAAATTATATTCACTTAAAGGTATAAACGAGTCAAGCTTTTTGTCAACAATTTAGGTTTGATCTAAAAAACCTTGAGCTTGATTTGTTCAATTTCAAGCCAAAGTTAGAACTCAAGTTACTCAAATAATGAGTAGAGTTCAAGTAGTTTAATACCCAACTTGAAGAGCTTATGACCGTAATCAAGTTTTTATCTTTAATATATTAATATATGGCAAAATATAGTGTTTAATATTAATATTTTTAATTTTATTGAACTTAATCAAGTTTACCAAACCAAACTTGAACATGAAGAATAAAACTCTAATCGAGTTTCAAGTCAAGCTCGAATTTGACAATATATCAATTCAATTACGTCCCTAACTTCATTCATTTTTCCCTTTCTCAAAATTCTCTATTTTTCTTTCTTTTTTTCTATCTTTACAGACTATCTTTTAATAGAATTGCAAATGAACGGGTGTACCTTTTTTAACATGTAAAAAATCAGTTTTTCATATGTTGATCTTGCATGATAATGTAATGGAAAAGGAAACAATCAGATACAAGGAGTAGATGAATAAATCTTATCAAAGAAAATAAAACTCAAAAGTAGATTTAGCAATTTAGGTATTTGTTTCATGATTATTTCATGTTAAAAAAGTATAACATACTAAAATTATCATCTCATATTTATATATTAAACGCGAAATATATTTTTTTTTAGTTTTTTTTCAAATCCAAATATGGCTTTTGTCAATTTTAAATAATATTACTTTCTTTTTTTTATATCATTATCATATCATATACTTCACGTTTAAAACCAAAAAGCTTCTAAACCTCTCATAAAAGAATAACACTTCTACTTCTACTATTCAACATATAAGCAACCAATGAATGCACCTCTCTATATTTAAAGTTAATAGCATTTGTGGTACTTAAATTTTGAATCAAATTTTATTTTAATTTTTAATTTTTAAAAAATTTTAATTGGATCCGCAATTACTCAAAATTATTTTAATTTGATCATTTCATTCATGAAACCATTTAAATTAATAGTAAATGTTAGTTGATGTCATGTGATGTTGCTATATCAATTTTTTATTTTAAATATATTTTTATAAAATATTAAATTAAACTAATATTTTTATATTTTTTATTGTAATATAATTTATTAGTTAAATATTTTTTTGTTTTTGATAAAAATATATCTTCAAAAATTAAAATTATGTTAAAATTTTTTAAATCTTTTTGAAAAAATTCCATATTATTTAAAAATAAAAAATTATTTTAAATTAAAACATTATTTTACTAATAAATTATATTAAAAATATTATTTTCTATAAAAAAAATATGTTTCTATAAAAATATTAATAGGAGTAGTGCATGAATGGCAAGGACTGGTCGCTTGTCATATCGGCCAAACAGGTGTTCCAATTGTTGTTGATGTTTTTACAGCAGCTACATAGTCATACAGTAGGCTAAAGGCTTATTATTAAAGAGCAAGAAAAAGGATTCTCGTGCATGGGTGGATGACAGCACTGGATGCCATAGAATCAATCCTAATAAGGAAAAAAAAAAAAAAGATTACCTTTGGGTGTAAATTAAATGAAGCGACAATCAAAGTAGAGCTTTTCCTTTTGCGAGAGACGATGGTGAAAGTTTGGATCTCATCGCACCTTCAGTGAGACGAGATTTGGCCCACAAACGGACTCTCAAAAATTTTTTATACCATTTTAGATCAGTAATTGAATCCATCGAAATTAATATACATCCTTTCTGCCCGCATTCAATTCACTGTTTGAACTTCGCTTTAGTTATTGTCTAAATTCGCCTCTGCTTTTATCCATAGATCGGTAGAAACAATTACCTTTAGCTTGGCTCACGAGATTTTCATTAGGAAACCTTTGTGTTGAAAAGGTTTTCATTTTTGCTTTTCATTTTGAATTTTTTTTAAAATTATAAAATAAATTTATTATTATTTAATTTAATTTAATTAATAAAATTTACTATTATACAATAAATAAATAAACAAATGAACTAATAATTAATTAATTTTATCATTATGTAATAAAATAACAAATAACTATTGTTATATAAAAAATTTTAAGGCATTATTTTATTAATTAACAATACGTAAATAAAATAATAAAAAGATAAAGAAAAAATATTATTTGATATATTACTATTATTTTTATTAATATTTAATTATTTATTAAAAATTATTATTTGATATAAAAATAATTTAATTATTTATTAATTTTACAAATGTTAAATAATTCAAACCATAGTATTAAATATATATTTTAATCTAATATTCTTAATATTTTTTTTTTTTTAATTCATCTTACCGTTGCATCCAAATATATATTTTTATAACTACTTTTAATTTAACCACTATAATATTTAATTTCATCTTTATTTTTTTTTAATCTCATCAAAATTAATTTTATTGTTCATCCAAACCTATCTTTAATTTTCTTCTAGAATTGGTCGCAAACCTACTTCTCTGAAACCTTACAGCACTCTTTATTTCAGCAGTTGAAATGTAACTTTCTTTGCTTTTGAGGGGAAAAGGCAATCCAGGCGTGAGCCATGACAAAAATTGCGTTCTCTTTCATACTGCTTTTGCTTCTAAGTACTCCTTCACTTGAATTAGACATGAAAATTTTAAAGGCAACATAAAAATATAAGTAAAAAGGTATAAACATAAAGTGATTTAAAATTTTAATAAAAAATATATAAATTTGATAAAAATTAAGAATTATATTTTATATTTAATGTATTAATACAAATTATGACTCAATAATTTATGTATTTTATATGTATTTGATATAAAATATATATAATACATGTATACAAATTGTTGATCTAAATTGAAATCAAAATAGATAAAGGTAAAAGCATGAACCAATATGCCTAATTATTTCAAATATATACTAAAAAGGAAAATATCAATTACAGTGTCGGTCAATTCAATGATTGATATATGATTTAAAATTGAAATCAAATCAAATTGAATATATGTACACTACAATTTGAATTGGTTTTTAATTTTTTTTAATTTTTTTAATCTTAATATGATATCTAATCTGAATCTCTCTGTCCCAAACTTAAAAAAAAAATCAATGAAAATGAATACTATTAGATTTCTAAAATGTCAAATTTTAGGAGGAGATAATTTGGTTTATCTACCCAACTGAAAAGGCTTTAATTTCTTGTTTTGTTCTCTATTTGTTCCAGTTGGTAAGAGTTACACACAAAGATGGATTAGTATCACCTGTCTTTCTCACAAGAGAAAAATGTGGAAGAGCATAGAAAATGACAGTTACATGACTAAATTTCCTCAACAGATGCAATCAAAGCCAATAAATTTTCCCATTTAAAGCATTAACCTAAATTTCAGACTTGATATTCTCAACAGCTTTAGACTTCCTATTGACATCAACTACATCACTCTTATAAAAAAAATATTTTCTCCACTTTCAAAATGTTTAATATTTAATTACTTTTCTATGTAATCATCTTCTTGCCACTGAAAACATACTTTCAAGTTTCTTTGATAAAATTTCAAGGATACACATATGGGACTAAAAGATCTTCACCTCAAGCTTAAGGTGAGGCCATGGCGGACACCATTTTTTTTCTTTCTTCTTTTTTGATATCATGTATCTTTTTCATCTCTT